GGCTGGAAAAGTATCTTTCCAACTTAGACTTTGCTGCCTGAATCTATCATTTTGCTATTGGTAGAGTTTAAAACTGGTGATCAGAAGAACATCTTTTAAAATCTAAAAAAATTGCTTTCTTTGCCCATTTCAACCAGAATCTCAGGACCACATACAATAACTTGACACACAAATAGTAAAGTGGCCAGAGAAATCAAAATGAGGCAATTGTTGATTTTTCTCAGCCCTGACTACAGCCAACCCAGGGCCCCAGGCAGCAGCAGGGGCCTGATGGAGGAGGAAGGAGTTGGAAAGACTGCCATGACTCCAATAGGTCCAAGGATTCACCAAACAGAAGTCCCATGTGAGCAGGCTAAGTAGCACTTCAGAGAGAGACTGGAAAAGGGGAATAGAGGGGCCTGGGTTGAAAGACAACTGTAACAATAGAGCGGTCATCTTCCTCCAATACGAGAGCCTCCAAAAGATTGTGTCTGAGAGAAAGTGGGAAGGCTGTTCCTCTCCTGATAGGCTCCAGATCCTGGATAGCCCCACCCAACAGGAATGGTGCTGCCACATGAAGGCACACCTGCACACACTTGGCACATCTAGTATGTATGCCTATACAGAAATAGTTCTCCAGATGTGGTCTGACTAGGGCAACATAGAGTAGAACTATCACATCCCTAGCTGTGCCTCTTTAACTACTTTCTAAGGCCATAAATAATTTGGAGGGCTAATATGTCACGTGGATACCAGTCTTGTAGTATACTAAATCTCCATATCTTTCTTCTAAACTGCTATCTGAAAATGTTTAGACATGGTTCCCCCATACTATACTTATGAAGTTTATTTTCTAAACCCAAGTATAAGACTTTATATTTATCTCTACTGATTTTCAACTTACTAGATTTAGCCCAATGCACTAGCTTGTTATGAATGTTTTTGATCCTGAATTGTACCCTGTAGTATGTTAGCTACCTTTGAAAATTCTGTCTTCATTCAAGTAACAGATAGAAATATTATATACCACAGGGCAACATGCATGCACCCCACTCAAAACAATCTTCCAAGTTGGATTCAGACATTAATAATTACTCCTTGGGTAAGTAATTACTCCATCTAACTGGATTATCCTCCAGCCCATAACTCTCCCTTTTCATCAAATACTTAGCTATAATCTAGCTAACTATATCTATAACATCCCCTAATTAACTAGCTTAGTAACTTTGTCAAAAAAAAAAAAAGAAGAAGCCAATATTACTCTGGCATTATCCACTTCTGATGAAGGTGTACTGTGATCACCACTTGTTCACTGACCACCCTTTTAATAGCGCAGTCAATTAAATCAATCCACTAGCATTTGTTAAGCACCTTCTATATGCCATCACTGTACTAAACACGCGGGGGGGGGGGGGGCGAGACACAGAGACAGGCAAAAACCAGTCCCTACTCTCAAGCAACTCACAGTCTAATGAGTTGAACAACATGAGAACAACTATGTTCAAACAAGATATATACAGGACAGATTGGAAATAATCAAGTGGGGAGGTACTAAGATTAAAAAGGCCTTCCAGCAGAAAATGGGACTTTAACTGAGACATGGAAGGCAGGGAAGTTAGGAGTTAGAGATGAGAAGGGATAGCATTCTAGGCATGGGAGATAGCCAGCGAAAATGCTCAGAGTCGGAAGATGGAATGTTGTGATTGAGAAACATCAAAGAGGCCAGTGTAACTGGTTCACGGAGTATGTGGATTAAGGTGTAGGAAGACTATGAAGATAGAAGGGGGCTAGATATGAAGGGCTTAAAAAAATCAAAGACTTTATATTTTATCTTGGAGCTAATAGGGAGCCACTGGAGTTTACTGAGTAGTGGTGTGATGTGGTCAGATCTCCATTTTGACATCTGAGTGGAGATGGGACTTGAGTACAGAGAGATTTAATGCATGGAGGCCAATGAATAGGCTATTACTATGGTCTAGGCATGAGGTGATGAGGGCATATACTAGGGTGGTGGAGTGTCAGAGGAGTGAAGTGGTTGTATATGGGGGTTTTATGAAGGGAGAAAAAACAGATCTAGACAACTGATTGGAAATGAGAGGTGGGAGAGAGAAAGTGAGAAGTTGAGAATGACACCTAGGCTGTATACCTGGGTGCCTGGGAGGATAGTGGCACCCTCAAAAGTAGTAGGGGAGTTCAGAAGTGCAGAGGGTTCAGAAGGAAAGATACTGAGTTCAGTTTGGAGCATATTGATTTAAATATGTCTATGGGACATCCAGTTCCAGATTCCAATAGGCAGTTGGAAACTTGAGACTGGAAGTCAGGAGAGAATTTAGGGTTGAACAAGTAGATCTGAAAATCATTTGCATAGAGATAATCAAAATCATGGTAGCTAATGAAATCAAGTATTTCAGGAGAGAAGAAGAAAAGCATCCATAGGGACACCCACAGTTAAAAGGATTACATTGATGGAGATTGATACAAAGGAGACAGAAAAAGCCTGGTCAGATAGAGAGAAGAACTGGGGAGAGGAGTGCCATGAAAACCTAGGCTAAAAGAGCATCAAGAAGAGGCTGATTGACAAATTAGGCAATGTTTCAGAGTGGGAGGTTTGTTGAAGCCCTGACCAGGAGCACATCCTTCCCATATTTTAAGCTGGGGTCCAGAAATGCTAATCCCATTCTCAGATGTGGTTTTCTAAACCTGTTGTTCATTTCTTTTGTCATATCCTACTTTCCTATTGTTATATTTCTAGAATCCATTTTGTTTGAGCCAATGTATTATGAACTAATTCATACTTATAATACAAGCTCTGAATCTTTTTATACTTCACCTCTAGCACTCTCTTTTCCAGTGCAAAAATTACAGAGAACTCAGAATCTGCCATCTGGATTAAATACTAGATCTAATGGGGTTTACCACTATAGCTCCCAATACCACGACTGCTCCAGGACTCAGACTCCCACAGGCCACTGTGGAATAGACTAAGGGAAAACAGTTCCTTTTCACTTCAGGGATCAACACTGAGCCAAGCCACAAAGGCCTCAGCACTTGTGCTAAGCCTCACTCCAAACTAATGCTCATTCTCCAACTGGTCTCTTTTTCCAACTATAATCCTTATTTCACCATTCCCCGAGACTAGTTACTATCACCAACACCTAGTACAGGATGGACATCCCAAGTTGCCTTATATAACCCTGGAGTATAAAAAACAGTTGCAAGTACCTGTGTGCCCATGCAGCCTTAGGGACACAGCTATTTCATCAATGCTGGAATTCTCAGACTTACAGTTATCTTCTCTTCTTCCATTTAGAGGTAGCTATAAGTCAGCTGGTAAGGGGTGCACAAGTCCCAAGGAAATTGGGTCTTTACCAGACCCAAGAACTCTTTGGTTTCCTTTGTAACCCTATGTATTTTACATTATGTATTTAATAACATTATTCTAAGGAGTCCATAGGCTTCACAGCTAACCAAAGGGATCCACGGTACAGAACTGTTCTACATCTAAAGTTTTAAAGAGTTCTGCAACTTTTTCTTATTTATATTGATCTACCACTGCCACCATTAACCCTGCTTCTCTATCACAAGAAATGAGGCAAGTAATGTCTTTGCGTGACATCTCCCCAGATCTACTCAACTTCATATAACTGTCTTCAGTCTTGACCTCGATTGTCCTTTATAAAGTTTCTTTATTGGTTCCTTAGAGCTAAGAGACTGGTTTAGTCATGTTGGGAATGCTATCGTATCAGGCTCATATCATATCAGGCATTAGATTAGATGACCCTTGATATCCCTTTTATCTATGTTGCTGTACAATTATCTAAGTTTAGATACCTCTTTGAAAAGATAGACTAAAAATCACTCTTGGCTCAGTGGTATAATGGAATGACCCAAAGTCCATCCTGGTCAAACCAAAACGCAGAGCAGGATTAAGACCAGGTCCAAAAAACAATTCTCAGTGTTTATCACAGAAGAGTGACATAAGATTCAGGAGTGAGAAAGCAGAACAATTAGGATCAAGGACCAAGCATCAGGCAGAACCAGAAAGACTAGGGTCAGAGACATCTCTTGGTTTTCTGCCTCACTGTACATGCATCCCAACAAAGCTTCAAGACTCAGGCTACCCAGACAGCCAGGATGCCCTGTAGCTGTGATACATGGTTACAATTGGTCCAGAGGGCTGGGACCATTAACCAGCACAACCAGGATGACTCAGAGCAGGACGCAGGCACAGTGGCCAAGCAGACTCAACCTAGACAGGTGGCAATATATCCCATTTGCCCTTGCAATATAGAAGACAGGTAGATGAATCCATGATGGTAAACTGTCATGATGGCATACCAAGTCAATCTAGAGTGAGCTGGGATTTGAAACACGGGTTAGTTCTGCTATGAACTAGCAGACCTTTGAAAGTCTGACCTTTTGAACTCCATTTAATTTTTCTAAGAATCAGTTTCTCCCCCAGCAAGAGGTCCTTGCCCTCATTACCTCACAGAAATAGAGGAAAAAAATTAGACTTCCATCAGAAATGATTTTCTATGTGCAAGAGTTATTTTTTATCATTCTTACTCTCTCTGGGCCACAAACCCAACAAAATAGTATAAACAAAAAGAACAATTGACCCACCCCCAGAGGATCAAGAGTCAGAGTTATTTGTGGATTTGGTGGTAAAAAGGCCTTCACAGAAACAAAATGATAGGATCAGATGACTTTCATCTAACTCCATCAGAACTGCCTGATTAAGCTTCCACTCTGATCTGCTTACTGAATTGTACCAATTATGCAAAAGTTACAAAAGTTTTGCTTCCTCCAAGAAAATTGCTTCTTCTCTTTAATATTCAGTCTTCACTCCCCATGGCCCTCCCTCCCTCTCTCAAATTAGGCTGCAGCTGCAACCCAAACCCAAAATAAAGTGCCCAGATGTATATTGGTTTCTGTGCAGCTTCAAAATCTCTATTTTCTGTCCCCCTCCCACCTTCAACCTACTTAGCAGTGATTCCTTCAAGGCTCAGAAATTACATAGCTCATAACTCATAGGGAAAGAGATAAGGAAATATACTGTCCACTTCTTCCTGAGGAGTTAGGGCCACAGAGGTTGAATCAAATTCCAAATGGTCCAGGAGGCTCCTCTGAGACTCTGGGAGGCAGAACTCAGGTTCAGGCAGGAACTCCAGGTCTGATTTGGAGAGAAGCCCATCTTGGGAACCAGTCTTGGTATCCATCATGAGTGGGGTTGTCCTGGAACAGGTTTGGGTTTCACCACCTTTGGCACCCTGGGGTCCTAGATCAAATGAGAGCAGGTATTAGCAGATCATAAAAAGAAATATTTTCCAAATCAAAACCCCAACTCCAGGAGACAGTGTGGTATAAAGGAAAGAGCAGTGAATTAGGAGGCCTGGGTTCTAAACCTAGCTCTTCTACAAGTTTTCTGGGTGATAGCAGCAAAGTCACTTGGCTCAAGGTCCTCCATATCTAACCCCTGCACCATCACTTTGTTCCCCATCCTCGTAATGTGTACCTTCCTTGAAAACACCCCCTAGAGTGCTTAGCTTTATCCAAGGCTCAGCTCATCAGCCATCTTCCATGGGAATTATTTCTTTATGATGTAACCCTAGGCAAGTCACAATCTCTTAGCATGAGTTTTCTCATCCATAAAATGGTGATAACAGTACCTACTTCAAAAGGTTGTCGTGAGGATCAAATGAGATGACATAAGCAAAGTGCTTTTCAAACATTAAAGCATTATACAAATGCTGGCTATTATTTCCTGATTTCAAGTTGTTAGTCCCATCTCTTCCTGCTCAGATTATTGTTCATATACTTAACTGCTTACAAGTCACACATAGGCTCCTTAATACACATGTGCGTGTGTGTGTGTGTGTGCGTGTTCAGTTGTTGCAGTCATGTCTGGCTCTTCATGACCCCATTTGGGGTTTTCTCTGCAAAGATACTGGAATGGTCTGCCATTTCCTTCTCTAGCTCATTTTACAGATGAGGAAACTGAGGCAGATAGGGTTAAGTGACTTGCCCAGGGTCACATAGCAAGTAAGTGTCCAAGACCAGATTTTAACTCAGGAACATGAGTCCGATTCCAAGCCCAGTGTTCTATCCACTGCAAGACCCAGCTGCCCTCCTTAAGGATAGGAACTGTTTGTTTGTTTGTTTTGTCTTTGCACATAGAAAGAGTTCGCCTCAAAGCCAGAAAAACCATGGTTCGAATCCCACTTTATGACCCTGAGGTTGACTTAACCTTTCAGTGCTATTGGGCTAAACCTGAAACATTTCCAAGTTCTGACTGATTCTCAATTAAAATGCAACTGGGAAACTTTTAACAAAATTAATTAAAATACAACAGAACATATATAATGTTAATATGTGGGGTTTTTTAAGTCAATATGTGATAGCAGGTATCCTGATTATGGTTTTGTTGGCTCTGCTTCTAATTGTTACTACTGCTCTAGGCTATTCACGAGACTGTAAGTTGCAGAGAAAGTATCAACCTGTATTAGTAGATGGAATTTCCTTATCTAGGAGATCCCTATATCAATAGAATCACAGGACCAAACCCTCTCTCTCTCCCTAGTAAACAGCACACTGCTTTGAACACAATGGGTTCTTAATGTTTCTTGGACTTAAGTACATGAAAATTTCAAAAGATCTGTGTTTTACTCAGTGTGAATACTCCCTCCACTGATGCAGATCTCTCACCCTCCTTGCCTTGTTTTTCATGAGTTGCTCTGACCAAAAAAAATTCATCACCTGGTGGCCAAGGTCCATGTGAAAAGCCACGTTGCACAGAGCAAGACTGGTCTACAGATGAAACACAAGACACCAACCCCCTCTCTAAGTCTGTCTAGTTTGGTAAGAGCTTGTGTTCTAGTGCCCTAATGTTTCAAAACCCTCCACACCCTGAGAACTTCAGGGGCATACACATGGCAAGTATAACAGATTTATTCCATGAATATTCACAATGGTCTTTACTATCTATTACTTCTACTTTACAAATGAGAAGACTGAGGCTCAGAAAGAGAATGGTTTTTCCACAGAGCATAGCTAGCCAAAGCTAGAATTCAAACCTTCTGATTTTGTCTCTGAAATTACACTCACTCCACACACACATACTTACACGTACATACTCCCCTCCATCCAAGCTTCTGTGATGAGGAGCAACTAGGGGTGAGAACCCAGTTCTCCCTGCATAAAAAGCTCAAATTCTCCTTCCTTTCCCAGTCTACTATGGAGTATCCTAGCCCAGCAGCCCTCAAGGATGTCTCACCTTGATCTCCAAGCCATTGGTCAGTGTGAGCACCCAGCAGGAAAGGCGTCTCATCTTCTACTTCAGATTCTGACATTGACCTAAAATTAAAAGCAAAAAGCAAAAAGAATTCGTTTGTGAATTTTCATTCATTAACAACACAAGCACCTTTAGTCTGTCCTTCTTAGAGGGGAATTAAATTTTCCAGTCAAAAGAAATGAAGGGGGAAGGAGGAGTAGTTCAGATCAGAAGGCAGAATATTACTCGCAAAAAAAGGAGGGAAAAAACAAGAAATAATACAATAATAGTTCTCTATTATTTGAATATTACATCCATTTTCTGAATTATCCATGGATTTTTTTAATCCTTGGCTGACTTCTCATCATCTAAAACATTCCCCCCACAGCCCTTCCCACGTCCCAGCTGCTATGTGCTCAGGAAATGCAAACTAATTTTTATATCAGGCAAAGCAAAAAGATAATTAGGAAAGGAAAACTGTTAAAAAAAAATCCATCTATGGAAAAACCAAACTTTACTATTTACTATTTTGGATTACCAATACTCTGTTCCCACCATTTGTATGCATACTACAGTTTCATATTCTCTGCACTGTGCCCAAGCAAAACTTGTCCAAGAACTGGGATGATCAGGGAACAGGAATGAGGGTGATGAGGATTTGCTTGGAAGTAGGTAACTGTGTGTATAGGTATGAACACACAGGGATTTGTACCTGGTATCCAGAGGGGATATCATCAGGACATCAGAAGGCTCATGTGTATTTCTCAGTAGCTGTGCTTGAGACATGACTTCCCCAGGACAGAGCCCTACCACACTTGGCCATCTCCCCACTGCTGAGGTCTCTAGAGGAACAGCTGGCCAAGGCAGAGAAGGGCTCCTTCCACAGGAACGCACAGGAGTATCAGAGAGACTCAGGTCTTGAGGCAGCAGGGCTAGATCTGAAGGCCCTTTCCAAAAAAATCACAATCAGTACCATATAAGCAAATAGCCCCAACTCTCTGGATCCCCCCTCCAGCCAGACACCCACTTTCTGCTGAGCTCAGGCCCCAGGATACTTCTGTATAACTTTAAGGTTTACAAAATGTTTCATCCATCCCCACCCCCACTGAGACTCAGAGAATTTAATAGACTTGCCCAAGGCCACAAAGCAAAAAAAGTGTCAACCCCAGCATGATTTCCAACCCTGGGCAATTAAAGCCCTATACTCAGCAGCTGGGAGTGAACAAAGAAGGAAAGAGGAAAAAAGAGCCTCAGTCAGTACCTACAAGAAGCCTTCAATTGAGCCTGAGGACATATAACATATACAGAGTAAAACAGGCAGGCAAGGATTAACGAAGCTCACTGGACTTAGAGTTAGAGGATTTGAGTTTGAATACAGATTCTTCATACTGCCTGGGTGACTTGGGCAACTCACTTCATCCTCTCTGGGCCTCAACTAGATGGTCTCTAAGATCTCTGGCCATGCTAAATCCTTGGATTCTAGGACTTGAAGGGGTGAGGCTGTGAAGGACCAAAAGGCAAACAGAATTTATATCTGATCCTTGAGGCTTTAGGGAGCTACTAGAATTTATTGACTGGTAAGGGGAGGTTGACTTGGTCAGATATGCTATTTAGGAAGATTAATTTGACAGCCAAGTGGAGAATGGTCTGAAGTAGGAAAAGACTTGAGGCAGGAAAACCAACCAGAAGGCTATTGCTATAATTAGTAATGAGGTGATAGGGCTTTCACCACGGTGGTGGCAGTGTCAGAAGAAGAAGGGAGCAAATATACTTGTTGTTGTTCATTCATTTCAGTCATGCCCAACTCTTTGTAACTGAATTTGGGATTTTCTTGGCAAAAATACTGGAGTGGATTGTCATTTCTTTCTCCAGTTCATTTTACAGATGAGGGAACTGAGGCAAACAGGGTTAAATGATTTGCCCAGGGTCACGTAGCTAGTAAGTATCTGAGGCCAGATCTGAACTCAGGAAGATGAGTCTTCCTAACTCTAGGCCTGGCACTCTCTCCACTGCACCACCTAGCTGCCCCTGCAAATATATTATGAAGGTAAAATTAACAGGGCTTGGCAACAGATTGGCTATTGGGGGAGAATGGGGATTTGAGAAGTTGAGGATGACACCTAGACTATATGACTAGGTGACTTGGTAGATATGGGAAGAGACTTTAGAAAAGAAAGATACTGAATGCACTTTCGGACAGGTTGAATTTAATATGTCTATGGGACATCCAGTTCCAGATGTCCAACAGGCAGATGGAGATGTGAGACTAGTGGTTAGGAAAAAAGTTACGGCTGGGAAAAACATACTGAGAATCATCAGCAAAGAGGTGATGATAATGGAAGCCATGGGAGTTCATAAGATCACCAAGTAAAACATTATAAAGGGAGAAGAGAAGATAATTCAGGACAGACCTGCGGAACAACCACCTGGATGAAGATCCAGCAAAAGAGACTGAGAAGGAACAGTCAGGTGGGAGAGGAACCAGGATAGAGTAGTGCCACAGAAACCTAGAGACCAAAGGATATCAAAGAAAAAGGATAATCAACATTGTCAAAGGCTGCAGAGAGGTCATGAAGGAAGAGGATTGAAAAAGACCGTTGTTTAGCACTTAAGAGATCATCACTAACTTTGGAAAGAGCACTTTTGGTTGAATGATAAAGCTGTAAGCTAGACTGTAGAGTTAAAAAGAGAGTGTGAGTAAAGGAAGGAGGCGCATCAGTTATAAATGACCTTCTGAAAGTTTAGCCACAAAAGGGAGAAGAGATATGGAACAATAGATAGTTCAGATCAAGTGATAGTTTTTTGAGAATGGAGAGACATGGGCATGTTTGTAGGCTATGGGAAAGAAAGAAGTAGACAAGGAAAGATTTAAGTGAGAGAGTGAGGATGATGGAGAGGGCAGTCTGCTGGAGAAGACACTCCAATCTAATAATCCAATAAACATTTATTAACCACTTACTATATGCCAGGCACTGTGCTAAGAACTGGGGATACAAGTAATATTGTATTGTACATTAACATTGTACAATAATACTCTTAAATATTATACAATTAATATTGGGAGAGGGGGGACAAAGTGTATCTCGTTCCATGGAACTAAAACCAGGCAGAGCAGTAGATGCAAAATAGAATGAATGAATAAAAGCCTGAGCAAAAAGAAGAACGTAGGAAGTTTCCTTCTTTTGATAGGGAAGTTAATAGATGTCTACATTTAAGATGTAGAGAAAGATCTGTGTGGAAGTATAAGAAAGGAGAATCCAGAATGAGGTTAGTACTACAAATTAACAAAAAAAAAATTGTGTTTGCAATGCCCAAAAAGTCCCAGGCCCAGGCTTTGTCTTAATTCTACACAGTCCAAGATATTCAAGTCAATCTATTGAAGGATTTATACTCATGGGAACAAAGTTGCAACCAGCTCTGTTAGAATATATCTTCTATCAACAGGAAACTGACACATGTTCCCACAGCTCAGAGACTCCCTCTCATGCCAAGTCTATCGATAGGAAAAAGTTTCCAATAAACTCAGCCCCTGACTTACCTTTTTCAAAGACAGAACATGTGTCTTCCAAGGCATTATCCACAGGCTCACCCAACATCAGTGCTGGTTTACTATTTTCCATAGGAGAAGTCGGGCAGTTTGGGGATCCTCTTTGTCTGACCAATGAAAAACACTGACAATTAACTGGGGCTCCCAGGCAAAGACTTCAAAAAAGCTAAAGGCACTTCCAGATTTTTAAATTTTAATTTCCCTAAAGTAGCAAATTGTCTGTGTTGAGGTCCCTCCCAGATCTAAATTTATGACTCTGATCCAAAATAAATTTTCTAACAGAATTTCATTACTTGCTTAGAAGAACTGAGGAACTGACCACAACATGGAGCCCAGCAAAGGGCTCTGCAGCTAACATGAGCACATTCGGTACATATGTGGTGCTTTCTACCACATGATAAGCCCCTCTCCCACTAACTTCCACTGTCCCTAACAATGTAAGAGGGCCCAAATCTGAAATCACACTACTGCTTGTAGAAATGATCACACTACTGCTTGTAGAAATGATCCAATCATTTCCAATTCCTCTTCCATTCCATACAGCAAGAGCTGTCTAGAACAATGCTTCTTAAACTGGGAGTCGTGACCCCAGTTCAATGCTTCAAGAAGCATTGAAGGGGTCTTGTGTGGGAAAAGTTTAAGAAGCTCTGATCTAAAATATAAGTCTTACGTTCACATAGTTATGAGCCTCTCTACCTTTAGCTAGGGTGGTCATTGAACAAAAGACTTCAATACTCAAAGAATGTTCAGCTTGGAAGGTTATACTTTTCATCCTGCTGACATAAAACATGAAAACCCAGAATCACCTCCCTATCCAGGCGAGAGATTCAAACAAGACTTTTGTGAAGGATTTATTTAGTAATCTGTACTCTACCAACCATCTTCATATCTGTCAAAAGTGAATGTAGGTAAAGCACCTTAAAAATTTAAAATCTTCAAGTCACAAAGGCAGTAAATGGCAAAGCCAGAATTTCTGACTCCAAATTTAGTACCCTTCCCACTATACTACAAGTTAATCTAAGAAGGTATGATAGTGCTTTGAAATTTCATCAGCTTTATCAATGAGTTGAGGGACATAATAGAATAACATATATAGAGCTAGCCTCAAAGCAGGAAGACCTGGATTCAAGTCCTGCCTCTGACACATATTAGTTGGAGACTCTGAGCAAGTCAATTCACCTCTTAGCTCTCCAGGCAACTAAGATTATACATGGTAGAAAAAGTACCAACCTATATTTGGTAGAGGGAGTTATCATAACCAATAAAATTGCACGTTCAGTCCCCATCCCTGTAAGTGAGTTACACTATCTTTTTTTTTGGTGAGGGATAGGAAAGAAATGAAATAAAGGATTATTAAATGCTAAAATACTAACCTAGCTGTATCAAAGGCTCTCGTCTCTGAAATCTGCTTGCTGGCATTTGGAATCAACACATTCTTCTGCCACTTCTGACACACCTCCTCTGAGGGAGCGAGAATCTGTAATTTAAACATTCATGCACAGGGCCAGCACCCCCAAAGGACCCTGGCAATGGGAGTAGAAGACAGCAAGATACCTCCAAATGAAGTCTTTTCAGAATATATGTAAACTCCACAAGAGGATTCCCACACGGAGGGAAAGTGGAAACATTCTGTGATTTGAAAGGAATGAAGTATTGGTCTTCTGGCATCAGTCATAATAATAAATTGTAATTTAATAATCAGGATTGAAGACTCATGCCTTAAAAACACATCATTCCTCTCCTGACCCAGGGAGGCCTAGCTCCACATATTGGGACACATCATAGCAATTACAAAGACAATCTACTCAAACTGTGATATTTATATCAAACTCACAGTGCTCTGTTCTTCTGTGGGCACAAGGGTTCGAGCAAGCTTTAGATACTGCACAGCCATCTCCAGGATGGAGGCCATGTCTTCTCGACGACCCTCAAACTTTGGCAGCAAGATCCGAAGCCGTTCACAACTTACAGAGATTCGTTTCCTATTAATACCCAAGCACCCCCACCCCCATGCCCAGATAAACAAATAATCCATGTTTGAGTCTCATTCCTCTGGACAGAATAGCTGAGACACACAAATGTAAACATTGAGCCCCATGTACTTATAAGTTGATGGTTGCTTAGCTCAAGTTGTCTTACATGGGAATGATGATGCTTTGGTTTTGTGAGTCTGAGTCAATTAACTCCATTTCGGGTCCAAAGAATGACTCCTTAACCTTGACCACAAATTAAACTCCCTAAACCTGTATTTTGGGGATTTGTTGGTCTAGACCTATGATTTCCTCATTATTAGGAGTTCCCATTGAGCAAATTCTCTCTACCAATGCAAATAAACAACTGTTTCGCAACCTATAGTGATAGAGTTTCCTAGGGGCATGAGGACATTAAATTACTTGCTCAGTATATGTACTTGTTAAATATACTAGCCAACACGTGTCAGCTGCAGGACTTAATGGAGTTCTTCCTGATTCTGAAGCTAGTTCACTATCTACTACACCATGAATTCTAGTTAGTAATTCCATAATTACATAGGGAAACTGTGTCAAAGAAAAGGGTAGATTTTCCCCCCTTTTCCAAGATAGTCAAGGAATCCTCTAGAACACTCCTACTATGCTGTGTTTAAACACCAGAATTTCCAAATATCCAGGCATATCCATCCAACAAATGGATACTTCAAAAAAAATTTTTTTTCAAGGGCTTTAACCATCTGTCAATTCTAAAACTGGCAGGTGGAAAAGGAGCTAAAATTATCCATTGTCATCCTACGGTTTGAAAAATTGAGAAAAAAATAGAAAAATAACTTAATCACAGTTGTGTGGCATTAGTTGTGAACGCCCTGGAGAGCATCACCTCACTACCACTTTCTTTTTTTGGAGGGGCGAGCAGTAGGCCAACTAATAAAATACCACCAAGTTATCTCCCTCACATTTAAGTTCACCATTGCAGAGATTTTTTTTTTAAATTCCTGGGTTCTCTCAATCTTTGAGTTTATCCTTTTGGCAAGGAAAATAAAAATTCCTTCTCCTATCTGCTTAAAACATGGTTGTAGAGTAGAAGTTTTTCTATTTTTCCCCTCCCTATGGGGCCTGACCAGGCTGAGTGGTTGACACATTTACACAAGGTTATTCTTTGACCCTCCCCCTGCACAAGGGGCAGGCCCTCACCTTCTTTCTCTCTCTGTGATAGCATTCTGCTTTCGGATCTGTACCTGGGCAACAGTGAAAGCCTCTGACACATCCCTGGACACTCCAGAATCCCCAACACTACTCTCAGAGGACCAGGCACTGGCCCTTGAGGAGCTGAAAGAGGAACCAGAGAGAAGACTACGAGAAGGGAGAAATACAAACACCACACCCTTAAAATTATCTGCTTAGACACCGAGTTTGAGACAATGGAACCCCAAAAGGCTAATAGCCAAGACACCAAAATAGGGTAAGTTTGTAGTTGTGCTTTATGGTGTGAGATGACGGCTCTCAAACTGAGCTTCTCTCTCATGTTCTAAACTCCCCTATACTTCTTCTCACCCGACCCCACCCTGTTCCCCATGACTACCTACTGTCTCTGCCACCTCCACCACCCCTTTCCCAAATGTACTGAAGGAGGCCGAAATGGTGGTCGGGTTTAGGGGTTGAGGGTCTGCAGGTGAGGACTAGCAGCTATTTGAGGTGAGTGGTAAGGCATTCAGGCAAGACAGTAGTATTTGGGGTAAAGGAAGAAGACTAAGCTATTGGGAATGGCTGAACTGGAAGTTATGGACTGGTGACTGGGGGGGGGCAACAATATTTGGGGTCAGGTCTGAGAGGCTTAGGCAGAGGAATGGGAGAGGGGCAAATTCCCGTGATTCTTCCTCTATCCTTAACACAGGAGCTGAAGCCTTGCCCTTAAGAAAGAACCTTCCCCACCACCTTTGGTTTCACACCTGTGCCCAACAGAGGCTGGATCCCTGGGTTCTCCCGGGCCGAAGGGTCCTTGGCTGGGGTCGGGGTCCCAGGCGTCCATGACTGTAGCAAGCTACAGCAGAGCCGTCCTAGTAGCTCCTCTCCCTTCTCCCACGCGCCTTCTCTCCTCCCCGAGACCGAAGCGAGAAACACAAAACACGTGCCCCCTTCCCTCGCGAGCAACACGTTCTCTCATCCCCACGCGCGCCCTCGCGTTCCCCCGTCTCCACGCACGCAACACGCCCCTTCCCTCTCCGGGGCTTGCAGTGGACACGTGACCCACGGCCGGCACCTTCCACTTGGTCCCAAGCAGCCTGTTCCCGAATTTCTGTGTAGGAAAGTAGCTTCGGTGCTGGGAGATGAAGCTTCAGGCTGACCAGAGTTGAGGCTGGACGGGCGTACCGGGTTCTGGAGTCTGGGGCAGAAGCTGTGGGGGTTCATGGGGAAGGGAGCGTCTTCTTCTTTGAGGAAAAAACAAAAATCAAATGGAATGCGGAGTGAAAGGCCAGAGAAGTGGGCGACCGACATGTTGAGGAACTAGGGCCTGGGAACCTCGACAGAACTGCATTGGACACAGGCAGAGATTCCAGAGATTGATCTTTCTTTAAATTCTTTTTTTGCTTGTTTTTGAATACTATTATTTTTTCCCCATTACATGTAAAAAGTTTTTAACATTCTTTTCTTTTAATTTTGAGTTCCAAATTCTTTCCCTCCTCTCTGTCACCCTCCCTGAGACAATAAGCAATTTGATGTAGGTTATACATGTGCAATCATGCAAAACATAGTCCCATGTTAGTCATGTTGTGAAAGAAAACACACCTTTCTTTAAATTATTAGTAGGCAATTAATATCCTTGTTCTACACTTGTACTAGGTGATCCAGACGGGAGAACTGGAAAGATGAACAGGGAAGCAGATTCCTAACACATCTTTATGCTAAGGAGGAACTTCCTGATAATTAGAGCAAATTGGAAAAACAACAACAACAACAACACTACTATTTAAAGTACTTTGTGGGTACTTCCATCCTCCTAAACATAGTTTTCCATTAATGCTAGCAGTTTCTTGGCTTGTCCTTTCTAATTTGTCTTGACTACAGTCACGTCCATGCCAGATAAGTGTAAAATTGGGGAAACATGCCTTTTCAAAAAGATTTCTGGCTTTTTCTTTGCAAGCTGAAGGATTGAGAAAGACAGCTGAGACCACCTACAAGGGTCACAAACTACATTCTATGTCTTATGGGCTGGCATTTCCAAAGTCTATTTCCAAAACATCTCTTGCATCCATCCCCCTTTTCTTCACTCCCACAACCACCACTCTAGTTCAGACCCTGAACATCAGATCTCCAGTGGCTATTGCAATTGCTTCCTAATTGGTCTTCCTGTTTCCAGTCACTCCCATCTCCAATACACCTCCACACAGCTGCCAAAGTGATATTCCTAAAGCACAGGTTTGACCAGTCCTTCCTCCTCTAGCTATGTGACTATATGTTCTTCCTAAAGCTCTTTACCATTTCTAGAAAAAACTAAAAAATCCTTAACCTGGTCTTACAGTTCTCCATGCCCACTCTCACCTGCCTTTCCAGCCTTATTTCATATTAACCGTCCTTCATCTACTTATCATTCCAGTCAAACCAGCTTACTAGATACTCCCTCCAATGTATTCATTCCTCCATTCTGTTTCATAGTATCCATAGATTCCTTAAAACATAGCCCAGGTGCTACCGTGTAAGTGAGGCCTTCCTGATCCCCTTAGATTGGGAGTACTTTCCCCTCTTGAAACAATCTTGTGGGTACTTATTCTATTGCCCTAACACAAGGTAAATCTCTTGTAGGCAGAACTGTGTTCTACTTTTCTTAGTAGTTCAAACACTTAGCACAGTGCCTGACACATAGAAGGGATTTAATAAATGCTTGACTGATTAACATAAATGCTTGTCAGATTTAATTAAATGGCATAAAATATTTACCATCTAGTGACCAAACCTCTGATAGGACTCTCTTAGGTTGGCTGGTCCTTCACCATATCTATGTTTACCTAGAATCTCAAGGTTTATAAATAGAATGGACTGCAATGTAAGTAAACAAGTTTCAGATTTTTTTCTTTTTTTTAAATTTATTTTAATCCAGCCTGTATTGGACACAGGTGTGAAACCAAAGTTGTAGGGGAAGGTTCTTTCTTAAGTTCAAGACTTTAGCTCCTGGATAAAGGATAGAGGAAGAATTAATTTAATTTTAATTAAAGTTAAAATTTAATTTATTTTAATTAGTTAATTTAATTTAATTAACAAACACCAAATAAAATGGCCATTTTTATATACACAGTAGAACAGAAAAAGAATTGCACATGAAATTGCAGATCTCTATTACAGACAGCTTGGGAAGCAGAAGCATTTATTAAGCACCTACTATGTTGCAGACGCTGTGCTAAGTGCTTTATAAATATTATCTTATTTGATCTGCCTAACAACCCTGAGAAGATGTTATTACTATCCCCATTTTATGAGGAAGATGAGACAGAGATTAAGTGCTTGTTCAGGGTTACACGTCTAATAAGTACGTGAGGCTAGTCAGATCTTCCTAGCTCCAGGACCATTGAATGCTCTATCCACTTTGCCACCTAGATGTATGATCTAGGTCAGTCACTTAACCTCTATTTGCCTCAGTTTCCTCAACTGTAAAATGGGGAGAATAGTAGCACTTACCTCCTAGGATTGTTGTAAGGATCAAATGAGATATTTGTTAAGTGCTTAGCACAATGCCTGGCACATAATAGGCACCATATAAATATTAACTATTAAAACTACTGCTACACTTGGCTTTTCTTTTTAAATCTATAATACATCCAACCTGTGGCTTTCAAAACTGTCCTGCTTTGTTTGTGCTTCTTTCTGTTCTTGTCTGTGCATTTTTAAACGTACCTCAATAACCCTCTTTCCCTTTTTCTTCCTTTCCCTCTCTTTTTCTTCTTTTCTCTTCTTTTTTCTTTTCTTTTTTTTTCTATCCTATCCCTGTTCCTCATTGAACCTCCCCTTTTACATCCCCTATTGGGAAAACAAAAAAGATAAGAAAAGAAAGCCCATGTAGTAACAATGCATAATCAAGCAACAAGTTTCTGATTTTTGAAAGTGTTAAAGCATAGAAGGGTTCATGTCATGGATACAGTAAATGGAATTCATAGGATCATATGATTCAGAGGTGGAAGACAGCTCAGAGATCCTATACTTGGTGGCAAGCTGTACTAGGGAACATCTGAGGTCCCTTCTAATTCCCCAATCCAATTATTCTTTTGCCCATCCTATTGGGTATCACTGCTTTGAGAAGCTTGCAAACCAAGTATTCATGGAAATTCCATTGAGTTCCCCAGGTGTTATGAACCCTTTCTCAAAGGTAGAGTTCGCCCCCTGACTTTCAGTGCCCGAGCCCACAGCTGGCATGCAATTCTCTCTCACCCAGTCCCCCTTGTCTTGAACAAACACCAGTTATGAAATGGCTACTCAGGGTCAGGGGCCTATCTGGGGTGTAGGAAAGGGCCCTAAAATAGGAAGTCCATAGGCCAAGGTGATAGCCCTGGGTCTTCCCTTGACTTATTGGGTGCTAGTTACTGAGCTAGTTACTATACTTCTCTGTAAAGTGAAGGAGTTCAATTAGATGGGTTCCCTTTCATTTCTGGATCTATGATATAATCTATAATTCTATGAATTTGAAATTAAGAAGTATCCTTCTGAGTGGAAGGCTCATTCTCTACCATCCCCCAGTTCTCCAGTGCTCTTACTCCAATGGATTTGGCCTGGCCAAGTCCTACTTCATCCCTCACAAGAGGTGATTTGTAACATCCCGTGTGGCAGAAGCTCCTTAGTCATTAACTTGATTCCTGATTTCCTATTCTGATGTGATTATGATGCCCATATTTTGCCCTGGACCTGGAAAACTGTGAGTGATGATATGGTATAACACCGGATTTAGAGTCAGGAGAAGCTTACTAGCTCTGTAACCATGGGCAAAGCACTCTGTGACCTCTCTCTAACCCACAGTTTTCTTGTCTGTAAAATGGGGATACTAACTTACTTCACAAAGCTACTGTATACTAAGCACTTTGAGAAACTTCACACACTATATAAATGTGAGCTAAAAGCTGATAATCTTGCATTTGTCACCAGCAACCAATTATAACAAAGGAGCATCACCCTTCATATCCACTCAAGGGTTTGAAAGATTATAGCACCTCAAAAATAATAAAAATTATTCCTACAACCTCATCACATAATGTCAGAGCTCTTCTTCCTGGAGGTGGAATTGATCCTGTTCCCTACAGGAGACTCCACTGCCTTCCCAGCCTAAGCTACAGGGCTTTGAGATGTGAACACAGCTACCCTGACAGGGAAAAATAGTGTTGTGTCTGTACCATTTAGGGGTAAGCCAAGCCAAGGAGATTCACTGGGTGACTAGCCTAAAGGCTACACAACAAGGCAGCCACAGAACAGAAAAGACAATTTCTGCCTCTCAACATCCTACCTCTTGACCCATCTGCCAGATAATTTTGCCAGGTTGAGGAGGGCCATGACTCAGTTTCAGTGGTGTGATTTACACATAGCCTTCAGCAAATATCCTGCCTTCCAATTTTACCAGATAGTATGAAGTGGCAAGTACAGGGTTATCTTTGGGAAAATGCTTTTTAATTCAGGTAGTTGTTAGGATCACAGGATTTAGAGTGAGAGGAAACCCAACATTTTATCCAGGGCAAATCTAGCTCATTTGACAGAGAAAGAAAGTGAAAGATCAGAGAGGTCAACTGACTTGTCTAGTGTCTCACAGATAGTAAGTAAAAAAGCTGGAATTCATACCTAGTTCTTCTGACTCTACATATGGTATTCTTTCCTTTACAACACATTATCTCTGTGCTGAGGAATGTAGGACCATAGATTGAGAGCTGGAGGAGATGTCAGAGATGATCTAGTCCAACTCCTTCATTTTGAAGATAAGGAAACTGAGGGCCAAAGACATAGCCAAGCCAGGATTCAAACAAAGGTCCATTCTATACACTTCCCCTTACACATTTCTTC